TGCGGTTGCGGTGCCTGGGGTTCATCCACATATTCATGGGTCACATCTTGAGCAGGGGCGTCAAATCAGGTGAGGCCCCTCGCTGGCCGGGGCCCTTGACAAAAACCTCATTATCATCGTCTGCTTGCGCCCTCATCATGACACATGCGCGCTGACTTGACTGCCGGGTCCCCAGGGTCGTGACGACGGCAGGTGCAGCCATGGGCTGGATTGCGGGTCGCTTGTTACAGCAAGGCCCGCCGCTACCTTCCGAGCGCTTGCCCCCTTGGAGCACTGCTGAAGTCACGCACGCGTGGCGGGCGCCGGCGCGCGCGCGCAGGCCAGGTGCACCCGAACACGCAGCGGACGTCGCAGCAGATGCTGCTGTCAGAGCTGGGGCAGGCGGCCGCCGACGTCCTGCTCAAGACGCCCGCCGACGCGTCGCTGGCGTCAGCGGTGACGTCATCGGCGGCGGGTGGGGCCGCGGGCGGGGGCGGCGAGCGGGGCGCGCTGGCGGCGGTGGCGGAGGCGGCGATGGCTGAGCTGGAAAGCGGCGGCCGGGCCGTCGCGCAGTGACACACCCGTCCTGTTGGTTCTCTGCTGTACAGATGTACTGCCTGTATCCCGCGAGTGCTGCAGCATCGCAGTGCACGTGTCGCGGCCAGCTGCCGCCCAGCTGGTGTGCAGGGCGAGTTGTGCTGACCTGGCGTAGGCCGGTCATTCGTGTTGGCGTTGCAGCGCAGCATTCGGTCCAGTCAGCTGCGCTGGCCGGGACAAATCATGTCATCCTGTTTTTTTTGGCAGGCCTACTCGTTACAAAGGCAAAGACAGGGCTTCGTCGACTGTTTGCGCAGCCCCTGACCGCTCCCAAATGGGAGAGTGAGTGTTGGCAGGAGTTTGCGTGGGGGCGGCCCAGCTCAAAACTGGAAGGTGGGGCTGCAGGCCGCGACTCAGGAAGCTTCTCATAGAGCCTGTGGTGCCAGCACAAACAGCGTCTTGATACTGCGAATCAGCGAGGGTTTGTTGGCTCGGTCTCGGCAGCGCCCCACACGGCCGAGGCGGCTGCGTCGGGCGGGCGGCCAGCAGGAGGGAAGCGTGCGGGCGGGAGACAAAATATGCATACGCTGGACCAGCCTGACTATCAAACTCATGGAAACACGCGATTGAAGGTCGACTGTAGGAGAACAAACGACTCGTAAATCTGTGCATCGCCCGGGTTTTTGTCAAATGCAACAAGCAATTGTCAAGGTGACTGACATGCTGCTGCGTGCAGCGCAGCAGGCAGTGTTGAGAAAGAGGGGGAGAAAAAAAGGTTCGTGTGCATGTGTGGCAGCGCTCGCGAGTGTATGTTCATGCACGCGTGCGCGCTCACACACTTGTGTATTTGTGCGGCGGCGCCGCAGGCCCCCCCCCCCCCCCCCCCCCC